ATAGTTTGAGATTATTCTATTCCTCATTTGTATTCACACTACTGCAGCCGTGAGTTTGCACTGATTGTATCTGACCCATTCGTGAAGAATATACAAAGGAGCAGCAGAGGTTGCCCTTAATCGAAATACCTATACTTACGTGCAATCTCAACTAGTGAGAAATTAGTTGGAGAGCACGATTATTGGTCATGAAATTTTAGGCGTCTGGAAAACATAGTGGATAGTCACTCTGAGGAGAATTCTCCATAATCTCACTGAATTTGGCTTGTTTTAATGCTCATTACCCTGTCATCACGAAAGACAGGCCTACCCATCGACTCTATTAGGTTTTTACCACCTTCTATCCTCGAAAGTGTCATTGACCATGCCGCTACAGCAGGTCTAGACACAGGGACAAATAATGTCCTGCCATCCTTCTCTAAGACTGCTAAAATCAACAGACCATCAACGACGATTGAAGGCATCTCTATTTGACTAATTTTAATTGAGCTTCGTGCCTGACAGATGGACAAGCGGAGGATGGAGTAATGAAGGGATATGATTGGATAGTTAATGTTAATTGTGCTATTTAGCTCGTCAAGTCTGCTGAGAATTAGCTAGATGAGCAGGTTGTTGCGTTTTTTTCTAAGGTGGAGATTAATTTCCTTCTCCCTCTGTAATGCTTAGAAAGCAGAAAGCGTTGGAGTATGAAGGGTCATTCGGGTCTTCGCTTTTCCAAGACTTGTAGAAATATTCACATTGGCAACAGGATGGAAGTGAAAGTGGACGAAGATGATTGAGTAGAAGAGTAAGAAGAGTATAAAATCAGGGTGATGAATTAACTGGGACAGACAAGGACTTAGGGATGATTGTTGTTCTGTGAGCTTTTAAGCAGAAATATTAGCCCTTTGTGGGTGGGTCGATCGCAGCCGAATCAAACGGAAGGTCAGTCACGGCAACACTTTTAGCAGTGAGATGCCATCGAATGCTACGTTGCACTGCATTTCTAAACTGAGAAATAGTCAGTCTGCAGCTTAGTGATTTTCTAAGTGATGTCACATACCACTAGAGTTTTGGTGCATTTAAAAGACCCTGCAAGTTGAGGGGGAAGGAGAAACTGCTGATGGTCGTCCCCTCCTGTGTCATAATGATTGGAGCATTATTAGCACGCAGAATATGAGGAGTCTCTCAAATGTGTCCACCTTGCCCTTTTACTTGATTAAGGTGTGGTGGCCTCTTAATCCTGCTTATGTGTAAGCAATTTGTCTTATGCTGAGTAATGATTATGAGATGATTAGGCATCTCAACAAGAGTACAGCAGAGTGTCATTTTTCGATGATTGGGTTAAGCAAAGCTCTTTAACAATACTATAAGCACATATTGCATGCCACCCAAGGCTTTAAAAGTTCCTCAACTGTTATGTCCTTCTAAAACAAGGATAAGTGTTTTTAGTGCTTTCGCCAATGACTCTCCTGGAGAGGCTTCGAGGACTGCGTATCCTTCATTGAGCTCTAATGAGGAAGAAATCAAGAATTTTAATGTAAATATAAAGGCTTCCTGCCGATTCGTTTCCAAGTTATGCAGGCAATGTAAGGAAGGCTAGTTTTCCTCTTCAGAGTTTTAAAATCATCTAACATGCCTTGCGCCAGACTTCATCATTACTCACATTTCCTGCTGTTACTAGGGAAGAAGTCTGAAATCAAGGCAATTTTGTAAAAACCGCTGAAATCCTTAAAACAATCCTTTGTTGTCTTGGAATCATGACCAGAATCTGATGAAATTACTGTCCTTTTAGAGAATATTCTAACATTTTAATCACTGGCGCATTTTAAAGATACGCAGTCCATGGATTTAACTCTCATTCAAAGCTCTTCCCTGAATTCTTTTTGTAACTTAACTGATTCTGAGTTACTTTAGTGGACCTATTAAGTTACTAAGTTTTGCAAATAATTTGCCAAACTTGACTCAGTACACTTGGAATGCCAGATCCGACTACTTGATTAGCCAGTTTGCAGTCAGTCAATGGTCTCGATCACTGACTGTGAACATGGTTATTTGACCCCAACATTGGGCCCATAGGCA